GGGCGGGGATCAAACTCGTGCTGCAGACAGCTTCATAGTGCTGTGCTCTAACACATCCTTGATTTCTGTGTAGAAAAGAGTTGGTGCAGGATCCTTGCAGGCGGGTTAGACATAGAACTTTACTATAGGTGAGAGAATACGCTCCAGAGTGAGTGTGGGCAGAATCAGAGGAGAATCGCGCCTCAGAGCCCAAGGCTGCTGCTATAAATACTTGTTTAGTTTGAGGGGGGCAGGGGCTCACAGGCAGCACTCTGTGGGCTCTGACCAATTTGGTTTGTCAAGACTGCTGGGCCTTAACATCCAGTTGGTGAAGTGAGACAGGACAAGTTTTACAACTAGTGGTGCCAGGTGTGAGATCGGGGTCTAAGCTGCTAAGGTTGGGGCTGTACGCAGAACGTGCATTGTTGCTGTTTTTCAGAGTTACTGGATGGGAAAAGTGAGAGGCTGCAGCCTCTGTGTCTGTTGCGGCCCCCCCCCCCGCTCCTTCCTCCTCACCTGCACCCCGCCCCTCTGGACACCTCAGCTATGCAGTGAGATTTTGGGGATTCAACAGACACACTCTTAACTTCCCCACATGCTCCAGAAGGGGACGGGGCCCTCCATACCCCTTCCTATTTTCACAGAGCCGCAGAGCCCATGGGAGCCCTGGGGGGCCAGGTGGGGTGCTCTGGGTCCGGGCCAGCTGAGCACTGTCGGAACTAAACGATTTTAACAAATTCCCCCGGGGCTCCCTCTCTGTGCCTGCTCCGAGTCAACATGCCCGGCCGGCGGCGAGGGTTCGTGCTTCTCCTGCCCTGAGCAGTGAGCCTGATGGCTCGGAGGCGGGAGAGCAGAGCGTGATTTAAGAGGCAACTCGAAATGCATCACTTTAATGTTTATAAAATATTATGCCAGCTGCGTCGGCATCAATCACTCGGTGCTTATCTCTCCCCTCGTGGCTCCTTCACCAAGAGTCACATTTTTCCTGTGTATGATTGTCCCCTCTCCGCTGGCCTGTTGGCTCCCCTCTTTCTTTATTTCCATTTTCTCCATTTTTCATCCATCCGTCCAGCAAGCACTGACAAAGCGCCTATTGTATATAGTGTTCCTCTCCCAGGGTCGGGCCACTGGGTGTTTACAGAGGGGTGACCTTTGCTATCCAGGGTCCCCCTTACCTCCGGCTTCCTTACCGGCTCCCCCATCTTCCTAACCTGCCCTTCCCTCTGCACGCACACTGGCAAGAGGTGTGAGCGGAGGCACCACAGGGCACAGCTCGTAAGTGTCCAGCTGTCACAGTTCCCCACGCTGCACCTGTCAGGGCCCCCAAGTCCGAGCAGAGTGGGCAGAGTAATGAAGGCTCCCGGCACGCGCGGGGCCAGCCTGCCTCCTCAGCTCACGCCACTGCTGCCCCAAGCTCCGGAGCTCCGACTTGGAGGAAACCTAGTGGGGAAGCAGCCCCCTCAGAGGGCTCGCCCCCTCCGCGCTGATCCCATTTTGGCGTTTCAACAGCCGGCATTTGATGAATCTTTTCATCGATGCTGAGAATTTCAAAAAGCCTATGATTGCAGGAAAATATTTTTCAACCCTCCACAATTGCCCGAAGAATGATCAGTTATGATGCCGGCTATCAAGTGGGAAAAGGCAGGGATTAATAATTTCTCTAGCCTGAAGTACACCTCAAAAAATTAAAAACTATCATGCATGGTCACTGAAGAGAAATCCAAAGCCAGGTTCAGAGAACCCCCCAGCCAGAAACAAACCTTCAAAGGTCAGCCAGTTCCTTCACCAGACTTCAGACAGTGCAACCTTTAAATTGCCCCCAGGTGGGTGAGGAAGCTGTCGGCTCACCTGGCAGACCCTGACTGTACCTAGCAAAGCTCACACTTCATTAGGCCCAGGAGCACGAGGCAGGGCACCCCACTTCTGGCTTCCTGGTCTCCCTGGGAGCCCACATTCTGGACTGGACTCAAATCCACAACCCAGCTGCTTCCCCTGCACTCACTATGCTCCCTGAGCTGTTTTGACTGGCACAAACCTTTTAGCATTGATGTGAGTCAACAGCCCCTCTTCCACAAGTCCAACTGGAGAATGGGCCGTTTTCAGGGGTCTCAAGGCTACCCCAAGCCTCCGTGCAGCGCTAGACCCCCAGGGGGGTTACCTTCCAGTGGAGATGCCAGCCCCAGGCCCGCACCTGATGGCCTTCTCCTTTTCCCTGCAGAGGTGGTTCAGCTCAGCCTCGCCCCCGAGGAGAGGGTCAGTGTGGCCACGGTGACCGTGGGGATGAGCACGGTGCTGACCTGCGCCATCCGCGGGGACCTGCGGCCTCCCATCGTGTGGAAGCGCAACGGGCTCACCCTGAACTTCCTGGACTTGGAAGACATCAATGTAAGTCCCCTGGGACTGACTTGGTGCCTGGGAACTAAGTGTGCAAGACGCCACGTGGCGGTGGCAGGGTCAGAGGGTTTTGTGGGCACATCCCACTGTGGGTCCCTTCCAGTCTGCTGCCTGATGGGGGAGGGGCAGAAAATCCTAGACAGAGTGGAGGGTGGCCAGCAGCCTGCCAGGCAGACCCAGAGTGCAGAGGGGGGTGCTGCCGGGGAGGCCAGTGCCAGGTCAGGGATGTCTCTGTCTAGGCCACATCAGCAGTGGTAGAGCAGGGGGAGCGGGCCACGCGGACAGCAGCTCCAGGGAGACTCCAGATCCTAACGCAGAGATGGACATGGCTGGATGCAGGGGCGGGCAGCTGGTTTGGCCGGGGGCAGGAGCCAGGCGGTGGAAGGACAGATGAGGCCACAGGGGCTGCTCTGGGGGTTGTTTTCTGGGCAAGGAAATGTGGCTTTGCTGACTTGTGTGAGGAAGAAATCAGCTAAGCTCGCAGAGCCTAACACGACCATTGGGGATACTTCTGGATTCTGAGGACTCAGGCAGCCTGGTCTGGGGTCCCAGCATCACCCCACACTGGATTTATGGCTCTGAGCAACTTCTCAAACCTCTGATCCTCAATAAATTAACCTATTAGAAAAGCAACATTGACGGTATCTCCCTTCCACGGGACTTTAAAAAAAAAAAGAGAGAGAATAATTCAAATGTATTGGCCCTGGTTTGGCATCAAGGAGGAGGTAGTATTCCAGAAGTTTGTGTGAGAAGACCATGACGTCATCCTTGTAGCATGCTCTCAGGACACTGGACAGGTCTTAAGCAAGGGGGACAGGACTGCAGCTCAAGGGGGCCAGCCCTGGTCTCCTTGGTTGGGGGCAGAGGGAACTGGCCAGTAACCCTGTGAATTGGTCTAGCACATAGGGCCAGGGCGTATTCCAAAAAGAGACCACCACATTGCTTAAATGGAATTGCCACTGTAGCAATCAGATCCACACCCCCTTGGAGTGAGTCTTCATCACAGGAAGCAGTGAGCTCCCCATCGATAGAGGCAAGCAAGCTCACTCAGGAGAATGGTCAGCAACACAGCGAAGCCCATGACCTTGACGAGCCCTCCCATTCTGAGAATACCTCATGGGCAAGGATCCCAGCGTGAAACTGCAGGAGTCACAGACGCTGAGACTCTGCTACCCTCTGGGCCCCTTTGGTGGTCATGAGGGAAGCAGATGGCAAGAGGGGACCGCTCTGGAGGTACTTCCCTGGGCAGAGCTGGGCAGTGGTGCACGCCCCTCGCCCTAATCACACCAGGCACGGTTGTTTTCTCGTGACTCCCCTACCGCGTCTCTCCTGAGTCCTCTCCGTCTCTGGATTTAGTGCCGTGCAACCCTGGGCTGCGTGATGAGCCGATGCTGAGGCTTAGACTGTCCAGGCTCTGAGCAAGGGAAGGCAGAGTCGTGTGAGGGGCGTGCGTGCTTGTGTGTGTGTGTCTGTCTGTCTGGCCAGTGGTGATTAATTCAGAGCTAGGGCAGGTCTGCTGTGTCACTCTGAGCACCCACTTGCACTTCTTGATGCTCTATTGAAAGACATCAAGAACGGCAAATGCGGAGCTCCTGTTAATGCACTTGCCATCAGTTAATTAAGTTCCTTGGAGTGTTTTTCCCCTCCCTTGAGCATGCCTCCAGCACCAGCTCAATTGCATTTCTCCTTTCACAGTGAGGTCAGCAATTTGGCTAATTATGGGTACAACTGGAGATTAATGGGCTCTCGTTACCTCCTATGAAGCACTTCTGCTCATGGTCAAGTTGGCACAGGCAGGGCTGTGCTCCCCGGAAACCCTCATGTGAGGGTACAAGACAGAGCCAAGCTCTACAGGGCTCCTCCCTGATATGTGCCAGAAACCACAGCACGCATGCACACCTCACTGCCTCAGTGTTGGGGCAGCGGGAGGCAGTGCCATCTGCCAGTGAAGGACATAGGCCCCGGGGTCCCAGGGACCTGGGCTCACCAGTTGAGTCACCCTGGAAAGCCACTTGGCTTCTCTCAGCCACAGTTCCCCATCTGTAAAGAGGGGCCGAAACCCCATTTCCAGTCTCCTGGGTTCTAGTGAAGGTTCAATGAGAGGATACGTGTTTCCTACTCGTCCACGCTCATTCTTGCTGTTACTACTCTTACAGCTGTAGCCCTGCTGCGGGGCATCCTCAGCACCGCTCAGCCCCACTGGGCTCCACAGTCAGGCAGATGTGACCCTGGAATGCCCCTGCTGCCCTCAGTCAGGGTCAGGGCAGCACTGTCCCTGTCTGCCCGTCTCACGGGGTACGGGGACGCTGACCGGCCCCTCCTGCAGCCTCGAGTAAGCTGCTAACTTCTCTGAGGCTGTGTGGACAGGGAGGTGGCGACATCCTTCCCGCCGGGAGTTCTCTAGCTGCGTGTGTGAAGCACGTGGGTGCTGCCCAGCCGCAGCTGGTGAGGGGTCAGCGAGGAGAGCAGCCGGGTGGAAATCAGGCCTCAGCAGGGGCGTGCCGGCTCATCAGGATTCAGGGGGCACGCTAGAAGCAGGATACGGGGAACAGCCCAGAAGGGCAGCCCCCACAAAGCAAGACCTGTCAGGGAGGGGTCGGTGGGTCCCAGAGTCCCTCAGTCTGGGGCGTGTCTGAGCCGCCTGCCACAGTCAGAGACAAAATACAATCACCGCTCAGCAGAGTAGTGATGAGCGTGGCGCTGAAACACCACGCAAACAGGGGTGAGGGGGGCTGATGGGCTCAGCAGGCCCAAGGCAGGGAGACGAGAGAGCGCGCAGAGGTGTGGGCCCCTTTCTTTGTCATTTGGATGAGACATCTTGATTGGCAACGAAATATTAATCACTTTTTCACTCCTCTCTTAATGAGAAGCTTTCATGGGCAACAAAATATTAATTTGTCTTGTCTTATCTGTTAAGAATTCTGTTAATGAATTCAGTCACAGGACTATTACAGAATGCCATCCTAATGACACATGTAATTAAACTTTTCTGACTTGCAAACATCAAAGATGCCTTGAGCATCAGAATAATATTTGATCAGAAAGTAAATGTACCCCCGTCGCCCGGGGCCAAGCGAGAAAAGGAGCTGCTCACATCCCTCCCCCCAAAGCAACGAGTCACCCCCCCACACACAGCATCCAGATGGCGGACGGAGCGATTCAGCCTCGAGATTCACTTATCATGCCAGCAAGCGGCAAGGCCTTTGCCAGAGCCCGGAGCTGTTCGGGGGTGGCGAGGTAGCCATGGTCACAGCACAGAGCAGCAGGTTTCGTATGAGGAGGAGGGAGCTCTTTCTGGGGGCCAGAGGAAGTTGTGGCTGGGCCTTCGGGAGACAAGGGGACACAGGAACGTCTGGAGTGCGGTGGCGGCTGCGTGGGTGGGCCTTAGACGCTCGCCCACGGGGTCTCGGCTGTTCCCTGTGGACAGTGGGAACGTAGCTGTCACGCCAGGGAGTAGCTCAGTCGGGGATGTGTCCTACCGGACACCTGACCCCTTACAGCCTAAGATTAAACAGGTACCCACGGAGGACCCCAAATTAGTGGGACCCAGGGGTCTGCTCTCTTGCAAATTTCCCACACATTTAGAGTGGAGCAGGCTGCTCCAGGCTGTGCCTCAGTCTCCCTCCTTGTGCCATAGCTCAGCTGGCGGAGCCTTCGCCTTCTCAGGCGGTCGGTGTGGCCTGTGGCGCCTCCAGAGGATGCCTGAGCCGCCCCAGCCTTTGCAGGAGGCCTCAGCTTCACCCCTGCCCAGCTCAGGAGAGGTGCCCTGCCTCGGTCACACCTGGGGCCCCAGAGCCCAGAGCAGCCAGAGAGGTTCCAGTGCAAATCCCCCAAAGCAGGCACTTGCCAGGGTGGGTGGCAGCCCCGGGGGGTCCCGACCCTGCCTCTCAGAAGAGAGTCTCTGCTTGTGGTGTGTCCTTCTGATGAGAAATTAATAGTTTCCACTCACACATATTCCCCAGAGCCAACAAAGGGCCCCAAGAGTTTGTTTCCTTCCCATAACAGCAGTAGGTTTCTTTAAGAAGCAGTAGGGGCCTCTCTGGCGGCCTGGGGGTTAAGCCTCAGCTGTATTACAGCTAAGGCCTGAGTTCTGGGCCCCCAGAGGTGACCCACATGGCACAGCCGACCTCTCCTGCCTCGCCCGCTGCTCCCCTCAGCAGTACCGATGCCTGTTCTGCTCCCCACTCTGTCTCGGGTGAGTCCTGCGCAGCAGCCAGGATGCCCAACCCCATGCAAGTATCTCCTGGCACAGAGTACAGATCCCTGCTCTTCCCGCAGGAGCTACCTATGTCTCCTGAGTGCCCAGAGGCGGGGCTGTGGGGCTGAGCCTGGAGCCCATCTCAGAGTCACACCTTTAGGCTCATCCTCCAAGCCTGGGGCCTGGGAGGAGATGCCTCGCTTCCTGCAGAAACAGAACACGCTCGTCCATTCCAGGACTCAGCCCCGCCGCGCTGAGCCACTGAGTCTGACGTGAGGTGTCTGCACCTAGACCCAGGGGGCACCTCCTGCCTCAGTGGCATCGCCTGCCCTCCCCTCATTCCTCACTGTCCCTCGTGATCCTCAAGCACAGGGGGGCATGCCTATGAGGGGAGTGGGAGCAGGAAGAGAACAGCCCCAAAGGCACAAAAAATACCTGTGACCTGCTGCATCCTTGGTGCCACAGACACTGGTGTTTCTGCCCGTCAGCACTGAACACCCCCGATGCGGAGCCAGAGTTCCACAGTGGCCGTCCCTTCACAGGCCCCTGCCCACTGAACCCTCACAGCTCCGTGGGGTCCGCAGCCGGACTTGCTCACCCAGCATTGCCTAGAAAGCTCTACTCGGGCCCAGTGTCCTGCTTCAGCACTGACTCCACAGCCCCGGCGAATGTGTCACTGGGGACGAGGGCTGTGTAGACAGCACTTGGTTCTTGCTGACCTCAGAACTCTGGCCTCTGCCCTGCAGGGGACGGAAGAGTTGAGAAGGCTCAGACCAGTGCACGGAAGTGCTGC